CTGAATTCAATCTTACTTCAACAATGAAGGAATATGAACAGCGACTAATGGGAACTGGGATGAAAAATTTAGTACATATTTGACTATTAATACCTACTAGAAAAGATTGAATGCAATATAATAAAGTATATAAAAGTATTAGAAAAAACTGAATGAAATATAATATTTTTACGAACAACATAATTAACTATGACGTTTTTTTAAAAATGTGTAAATTCACAACTCGAATGAATTATCTTTATCCCGTAAACTCGATTTTATGAAAATTTTAACTTATAAAATATAATAATATTTCTGCAAATATTATTTACTATTAGTCTATAAATATTTCAGGTTGTCACATTTCTGTTACTGTTCGTCAACTCGAAATGGTTACCTAGCAAAATAGACAAGTTAAAGGGTCTTTCATGTTTTCTTCCGCCCGAGCTAAACCGATCTCGTCTGTGGCATAATGTCACATCTACATCGAAAATTATTGACTTCACCATGAACCGCTTTCTTATTTGCATAACTATTCTGAACCAATTTAATTGCATAGCTATTCACGACCAATTTAATTTTTGACTGTAACATAATTATTTTTTACACAAATTAGTATTATATGTCACAGATTTATAAATTATCATTTAATGCATGTCAACAGAATTATAAGTTAAAAACTACCGTGCAAACGTTTCACTTTGTAAAAAATATAAAAATTACAGTATTTATCGTTACCTTAAATTAATGGGGGCTATAAAACATTAAACCAGTAAAATTCTAAAATTTTTACTAAATAAAAGCTAAAAACTGTAAAATTATTCATTGCTATAATAGAAAAAGTGTTTTTGGAGGTATTTACAAAGACTATCCACCTGAAAATTAAGCAGCGAAAAAGATCATTATAAGTTGAACCTTTATCGTGTGCATATCGATTAACTTTCGAAGGGAATTTTTAAATATTATTTCTGAATATTCTAATTGTTTAAACATTATATGATATTTCTAATTTACTTGCAACAATTAAACGATAAACTCTCTTCAGTAATGTTTCAAAGTGTTATTTAAAATTTCTAACTGATAATTTATAACAATCTTGAACAATGAATACCTAAGAGAAATGACTTTGAATTCAATAAAATAATTAATTTAATTGTTTAATTGTAATATCAAACTTCTGAAATTTATTAAATAATGTCTAGAAATATTGTAGAAATAAAATAATTTAATTGTGTCAAATGAATTGTTCAAACTGTAAAATAATGCTTTTCGGTTATATTTTTGTATATCATTTACCAAGTGATTGAATTCCCAAATGTCATTTCATAGTTTGAATAATTCGTTTATAATAATTAAAGTATTTTATTTACAATAACGGAAGAGACAGTTACATAATACACCTATTTCTTGCTCTCTGAAACAATAAACAAGCAAAAATTTTTATACGTTACGCGATTGTTTTAAAGAGACGATCATTTGCTTAATATAATTTTTGATTACATAACTTTTCTTCACATAAATTTCTATATAATGTACATCGATGCAGTTAAAATTTAAAAATTAATATCACGAAAATGTAAACTCAGTTTTAGCCGACTAAAAATTAATAAAATATTACGTTTAACGTTGTAACAAATTCATGAAAGTGTAACTTTGGGACAAAAATGTAAAAACTATTAAATTATTATTTAGTATAATAGAAAAACTGTTTTACGAAATAACTTAAATTACTAAATAAATTACTAAATAAATTACTAAAAAAAATTATCAACTGTTTCGGATCACTGACGACCGAAACATTAGATTAACCTTGAGAGATACGGAGATTCAATATCAATTAAATTTTCGCCGTGTTTTAGAAGTTTGAAAAAAAAGTTATCAACATTAGATTAACCTCGAACGGCTTTCGACGTAAACACAAAGATAAAATTTTACAAGTTTGAAAAAAAAGTTGTCAACTGTACCTGATCACTCACGACCGAGATATAATATAACCTTGAGTAG